TATAAAATAATTTATCATAAACATTTTAAATTTATATGTTTTATTTTTCGTACTTTATTTTCGTTCAATTCTAAAAATACACAATATTTCTTTGTTATAAAATTCTTTAAACTGTCGTCGGAATCATTTCCAAATGAATTTTTATTCTATATTTATATATTTCTCAAAAAAATCTTCCTGACTTTTATATCTAGCGAATCTGATTTCATATTACGTTTGTTGAATCAAATGAAAAACCGTTCTTACATTTCTTATAAAAATTTTATATTCACAGCAGTTAATACGAGAAATGATATTGTGTTCCCTAATATGAACATAAATGTGTTCTAAAATGAATGAAGTCGGAAAACAACAATAAAAAAGTAGTATTACTAGGAAATATAGAGGGTGAAGCAAACATCTTTCGCCATAGGTGTTGAAGAGGCCCTCGCACCCTTGAATTTTAAGACGAATTATTCTACCCATATATTGCTTTTTTGTTTGTTAAAATACGCACCAATATCAACCAGAAAGATCCCGAAGAACACTTAACAGATAGATCATTCTATGCAATATATGATTTCAGATAAGAATCTCTGAGTAGATATAAGAACGTTTCTAATCAAAATGTTTTTTATATAGGGAGATAATTTTATCTATTTGCACTAAAAGAATAAAAAGGAAGTATTTTAAAAAAAGCAAAAGGAGAATAGAAATTGTCTTTCACTTTGTTTATTTTTTCATTTGTACAATCAGATCAGTTTGTAATTTATTGTAAAATCGCCAGAACAATAAACCAAAACCTAAAAAAAAAAAAAAAAAAAAAATAGGTGAATCTAATAAATATCTTCCCTCAAAGTTTTAAGGGGAGATTTTATAGAAAATGATTTATTACTATCATTTTGCTATAAAATCTGTTCTAAGAAAAATTCAAATTACGGCTTTAATTTCCTTGATTTGATTGGGATGAAAAAAAAATTTTCTCGTTAACAAAGAGGAAAATGAAGTTAAGGTTGATGGAATGAAGAAACATTGGATGAGCTGCTGTCACTTCTTACCGACCCTTCTTCAATATAATGACTGCCTAAGCAAATAAAAATCACGTTCATTACATTACACCTAAAAAATATTAAATAGTAATTTCCAATTTTGTTGTTCTGCACTGTTTTAATTTAATTCAATTTAAATTGATATCCAATGTACATTTATAAACTATAAATCTATAAGTTTCCTATATTGTATATAATAAAATATATACAAAATCCACACACACACATACATATATAAATATATATATATATATATATATATTTATATATATATAAAATGTATATATATATAGAGAGAGAGAGATTTTTTAAGGTGTAACTATAATTCTGAGTTAATCAATATATCAAATAGAGCGCATGAAAATATAAATGATGACGGAAATTCAAGTGATAAAAACAATACATATGCTTATATTAATAATAAGACTAATAATATTTATTCTATATTAGAAGGAATTTTGGACAAATGGATTCATGAAGAGAAAATGATAAAATCTGAATTTTCAGACTGGTTTAAGAATGTTAATATATATATATATATATATATATATATATATATATATATATATATATATATATATATAAAATATATAATTGGTATATACGGAATGAATTCAATAACCAACAATTACTATTCTTAAAAGAGTGCTCAATATAAAGTAGATATATATAATTATTTTTATAAAAAAAAATTATAACATAAGTATGTTATAAAATCACTACAAAAATAGCCATTTTGTTTCAACACACTCTGTGTCTTATCAAGTGATGATGTTGAAAAGAAAATAAATGGTTTTAAAAGTTTCAGATTAATTAACGATCCTACACTTGGGGGAAACATTGTTACAAAAGCTAGAATAACCAATCAAAAACAAAAGTATAGAAAGATTCAAAAGCTTGACAACGAAATCATGCTATTTAGCTATTCAGATCTTTAAATACGTGTAATATTAAAAAAATTTATACTAACTAATAATTATAAAATTATATGATAAAATTTAATATTAAAATTAAAAACTGGCAATTTTAAAATCCAAATTTAATCACTATTAAGTTTAAAAACTACAAAATTATTGAGAAAAGAAAAAATATATATATTTTATTCAATTCATTTCTTCATTTAAATTACGTTAGACAAACGCTACAATACATCCGGTCATTTGACAATACATGTATATATTTTTTTTTTTTCCCTTTTTTTTCCGTTTTGTGTTTTAAACTCACGCGTAAAACCACAAAAACACAATCAGATTATAATACATAAACACCCAGACATAATTAGATACATATATACACACACACTAAAAAAAAAAAAAAAAAAAAAAAAAAAGAAGAAACAGGGAATACGTGAACATCTCTACAGCTCTTTTTATAAAAAAAGGAGATGTGGAAACTAACACTTATACACGCACACACAGTTAAATGTGAATACACTTTACATACACATAGACACCGATAGATACACATAGACACCGATAGATATGGGGAGTGAACCAAATAATCTTTCTAGATCTTCTTTTCTTATTATGGTTGCAATTAACAGGGTTTTTATATTGGATAGTGGTATTTTTGTATCCACTATTTTTTAGTGCAGAATTATAAAAATCACTATGTTTATTGAAAACCTCCTTATTATAATAAATAATGTAATTCTAAATTCAATGGAAGAGTTAGCGCTAATTCTAAATTCAATGGAAGAGGGTATAAAACTCTCCTCTCCCTTTTAACCCCTTTTCCCTTTATTGTCCTTTCTTCTGACTAAGGTTTTTTTTTTTTTTTTTTCCAGCTGGGTGAAAAAGAATGAGAGCTCAAGAAGAAAGACGTTGGGATAAAAATGATTAAAATATAAAAAAATAATTCGTTATCAACAAAATCTTTCTTTCATCACGCATTCTGGTGACAGTGACAAATAGTTTTTTATTGATTTTTACTACTTTATTTTAGCAGAACATCATTTTATTCATTCATTAAATATTAATATCGCTTATGAAATGAATTATGTCCTTAATTAACAATTCAAAAAGAACGAAAAACCAATTATGTTTTTAGATGTTTATGTACTTCACAAATCCGATGCCCTTAGAATTTTTTAAACGTCAGTTCTGATACTTTAATATTCTTGCTTAATTTTAATCTTTACAGTGAAATCATAGTAGCAAATTGATAAATATTTTTTAGAAAAAAGTTAATTTAACAAATAGAGAGAGAGAGAGAGAGAGAGAAGAGAGAGAGAGAAGAGAGATTCATTGATTCCTTCAGGATATTCCATTTCAATGTTTTATTGTATTTTTTCCAGTTTTTTAGTTTTATTACACATTCGGATAAAGTTAATAAATAGTTCAAGCGTATTATAACAACAAAAAGATTCTTACAATAAAAATACATTTAAAAATATTTTGAATGGCTTTTTGTTCAGATACATTCAATTTGAAAATGATTCTTTATTAAATACGGCCTACTATTGTCATTAAAATTAAAGCCAAAGTTCGAATTTTTGCAAAAAAGACTAGTGGACCTGTCGTAAAAATAATGGTAGATTTTAAGTTTCTGATATTTTTGTAAATAAAATACATTTAGGAAAAAGATAAAATGACTTTTTATAAATTCATTTTAATGTGTTTAATATGTCAGTCTGAAATGACAGAAAAATTTGACTATGTCATGAGAAAATTAAACGAAATAATCTGATCCGGTAAAAAACATATTAAAAGAATATATATATATATATATATATATATATATATATATATATATATATATATATATATATTTTAAATAAATTGTTGTAGGTATTGTTGAACATTTTAGCTTGTATACTATTAAAAGATTCTTTTTCATTTGGTCAGGTTATTTGTGATAACAAAAAAAAATAAATTTATGTTTTCCTTGATCGTATAGTCTCTGTTTACTTGTGTTCCAGTAATGGAAATTATTGATATTTGTTGTTTATATGTTATATCAAAAGTCAGTTTGTCACCTCCGGATATCCCAGAAAATGGGTTTTGTTGAGCTTATGCCATTCGTTTTACTATGTCTGCGGAATTTAGCTTTAACAATTTTATGTACAGACAGAACGATGGGGTTGCCATGGGCTCTCCTTTGGGTCCCCCTTTTTTTTAGGTGAGTCGTTCCACACTTATGACCCTTTTGCACTAAATGTACCGTCGGTATGTGGACGATACATTTTGTCTTTTTAATAGTAAAGTAGAAGCTGATTCCTTTCTCAGTTATGAACCAACTTCATCCATCTTTGAAATTTACCACCGACAAGGAGTCTAATTTCTTGTCTCTCTTTTCTTGATGTCCTTGTGCATCGGACTCCTTCTCAATTTCTTACTTTTGTTTCGCAAACTAACGCTTTCTGGTTTGTATACGCGTTGGGACTCATTTTGTCCCAGAAAGCGTAAAATCAATCTCATCAAGACCTTAACTCATTCCCTTGATGATTTGCGTTGAACAATATTTGATGAAGAATATTAAATTTTATCCGCTGCACTCTATTAAAAAATGGATATTCTAGATACTGTTGAAATATTAATTTTCAAAAGGAAAAAATATTTTTGTTCAAAAATGTCCCTATTTATTTGCAACTTTTTTTTAGTTCGTTGGGCGAAATTGTGGCTAAAACCAATTTATGCTGTCCATCTCTGCTATTTTTCTGCTCAACTAAGGATTCATTTTGTGACTGTTCTGCTTTTTCTTTATGTGTAATGATCCTCTTTAGACCCATTATGTTTCTTCCGTGATTTCTACTTTTTAATGTGGTTGCTTACAGTGACTACATAGGAAAGACTTCCCAACGTTTAGATTATAGGATCAGGCAGCGTCCCCATTGCGAGTTCTTAATTATTATGCCCGTAAGAGCCAGTTGGTTAAGACATGCCCGGTTCAAAGCGATTCACTGAACATTTGATAAATTCCAGGGATTATGCGACGGATTTCAGTCCGAATTGGTTTACTGTTTCTATCTAGCTCCTCATTATCAATCTATGACCACTTTCTCTATATCCCCTCTCTCCTCTATCTGTACTTTCTATCTCTCCTCTTTCTTTATCTCTCATTTGTCTATACATATATCTGTTTTCTCCTGTATATCTCTCTATATATCTCCCCACTCTTCATCTCATCTGTTTCCCAATCTATCTATTTTTCCGGATGTTTCTCTTATCTATCCCTCTCTCTCTTATATATGTATACATACATATATATATATATATATATATATATATATATATATATATATATATATATATATATATATATATATATAATATCAGCCTTGTATCATTAAATCTCTTTATGCTTATCAACTCTATCTCTATCCACCTCTCTATAAATCTCATATCTCTTTCACTCTCAATACACTAATACATTTTTCAATTCAACCACATCTTGAACATTAAAATGTTTTCGGCATTTTTGTCAATTTTTCAACGAAATATTCCTGCATATCAAAAACTATGAACAAACTGTTCAGCTTTTCTTAATAATTCCAAATCATTAAAGTCTTACATTTTCCTCACATGTAGAACTCTGTCTCTGTAAGGTAACTTGTCACTAATTGAAATTTGGTGCAGTTTGTGTACATAAATGGATTACATTACAAATAAGTAAATTAAAAAGATTAACATTAAAAATATCAGTTCGATACTACCAAAAAAAAAAAAAGCAATATATCACTCACTGTAAGGAAAACACATAAAACTATTATTATGCAAAAGAAACAGAGCGTCTAAAATAAAATTTCACTACATCGAGTATCATGTGAAAGTATGTACAAAATATTAATATGTATAAACAATTGATACATTATTTTTTCAGTGCAGTCAAGCTCTTTGAAACCGTTCTATACATGAGGTTATTTACATGATATCTGGACAGATTACTCACTATTTTGATTAAGACATACATCATTTTTTTTTTCAGAAATTAAAGAGTAGAAACGAAACAGACAGAACCTGCTGGGTGGATTAAATAAATTGTTTAATTAATTCTTGCTGTCTATTTAGATTGACTGTTTTGTTTTTTGCAGGTTATTTAAAGATTTTTATAGTCTAAATATTTTTTTAGATAATAATGGCTTAGTGATACTTTTCATATGAGATGAACTCGTCCAAAATGTACTTATACTGACAGAGAGAATACCTTCTGTTGAGATACGTTTAGACAGGTTGAGAAATATGGAGACAGACACAGTGTGTTTTCAGAGAGTTATACAAGAGTCCAGAGAGAGAGGTGATTATAGCTTTACTTACAGAGACTTTTACATATATGTTTCTACTAACCCGCATTCTTGACTACTAATCTTCACTTCAAGTCTGTATTCTTACGTTTAATACACTTATATTATTTATATACAAACATCAGGAATTTACCGTTCTACTTAAACAGATATTTATTACAGCAGTCTTGAATTATATCAACGAACTATTAGTTCTGACTAAAGGCTATGTTACAGCTATAACTATATCATGTTCATTATAATAACTGTATATAATTGTATGTAAATATATATTGTATTTGTATGTTACTGTATGTGTATGTTGTTATTTGTATGTTATTCTATATTATTATATATGCGGGCAATGTATCGATTATGAAGGCAGAAAGTGGAATGTTTTTGTTGCATCTATGTTATCACTCTCTAATATATTCATATTGCAGACATCCGTCTTAATGTAGGTATGTATTAAATATCAGCGTCGTCTTGGGCAGTAGCCAGGATATATAATAGAAAACACTGAATGCAAATAACAATACGCCGTAAATAAAAGACAGGCTGAATAGTTTTAATAGAGTAAGCAATCTAAAAATAGAAATCCTACAAACAAAACATTTTAATTCTCTCACTACTTCTGCCACTATTTCCTTTGTAAATTTTCTGACAAACTATATTCCTTGCCTTCCAGCTGCCATGAACTACACGGTTAACAACGTTATGCCATATACACCGGATAGATTCATCCTATTCCATTGTTAATCATTACTAAGAAGGAAATTTTTTTCGAATAGCTTTTTTCCCCAATAACCGTTGCCGCGTGGTAATTAGGCTACCGATAGGATACTTCCTAAACACAACAATTGTAACCTCATCAAGACTATTCTTGGGAGATATCTATTACCTCCAAAATTTACAGGCAAAAAGCCTCCAATAGTAACCATCTATATATTTTATCTCCTTGGCTTTCCATTGTATGAACAATTGGTAAAATAAAGCAAAAAAAAAAAAAAATAGATAAATCAAAACCTGAATAAAGATGGTTTGGTTTAATCTAGCTGTCTTGTCAAACGTACACCCATTGCTACTACACCTATGCTAGATGGAGTCTCGAACTGAAAAATTGGCCAGCAGTTCGAAGTTCACTGGGATTCGTCACACTGACATACGCGTAAATCGATTCAGAAAGTAAGAATCTACCCTACCTATGAGTTAAATTGAGACTTTTTTATCTTAGTTTATTGTTATTCTAAAAAAAAAATGTTAATTTAATATTAACTCGCAAAAAAAAAAAAAAAAATCCTACAATCCAAAAATATGTTTCTGTTTTAAATAATCCCAAATGGTTGATAAACCATAAAATTATGTGTTTACTCAATAGCCATATTGAGTTCCCAAAGTCATCTCCTTGTTATATATCGTTACTTGTGTATATTTGTATCTGAATGAGTGTTTTATTTATCCTCACTTTCATGATTTCATACACGTGGAAAGATACATGTAATCGGGGGAAGTACAAAACTAATATAGACAGAGAAACATAGAAAAAATTATTGCATACTTGTTTTAAGATTATAAACGTGTATAAAAACTATAGGCACATTTCTCTCGTTCTATCTGATTTTCTTTCTCTATATCTCACATGTGAATCATCCACAGCATCCTTTTCTTTTATTTTAATTCTAGACGAACTTTTTCCCTTCCTGATACAGTCAATACATTGTCCTCTAAACATTTTCACACTTTCCTCTCAATCCACATTCTCGTCTATTCAGTTTTATTCTTTCATTATTGAGCACATCTTCGCGACTTCTTTGGATCACATGTGCAAGTAAAAAGCAATCGATTTTATCATAGGAATTTCGCAAATTCTTCTTCTATGTACAGGACGTGTGAAATCATGGTGTCCACATTAACCTCTCGTATTTAGCTCTTAATATTTGATTTTTGTTATCTCTTCTCGTCGCTGTTTAGTCAGTAATTTACACAAGGGAGTTAGATAGGTTATGCGTTGCTTTTCTCGTTTCCTCTTGCCTTCAATATATCATGTGAGTGTCAAATTTACTAAGCTCTCTTTCCTCATTAAGTACCATGTGTTGCTACAGAAGTATGTCGAGAATGACATGGACTGATCATGTCAACAAATGAAATTTCTTATTAATAGATTTCTAATGACGATAACATTTGATTTAGGTTTTAATGACATTTTTTAGATCGTAATTGTAAATTTAAATCTATTAGAAATGAATAATAATGTGTGATCAAAGGACAATGATTTTCACGGTAATTGTCAGTTATGTTTCATAATTTTACTGTTGAAATTATCCGTTATAAATTACTATTTATAAGTTCTATAATTTCTTCTGTTGAAATTTTGCTTATGGAATTCACTTCCGGTTTCCTGTTTTTTTCCAAAAATTTAAATGAAATATCATCATCTCCTTGAATCCAGTTTTTTTTTTTTTACTGTTCTTTTGATTTCTTTCAACTTCAGTAACCTTTTTGTATCTTAATGGTTTTATTGCTTTGCATGGTGTGAAAAAAAAAAAAAAAAAAAACGTTGATTTGTCCGTAAGTTTCACATATAATGGAAATAACCTTTCTTTAGTGTAGTGAATGGGTAGTATATTATCTAGACTTAGCAGATATCGTTTGCATCTGCATTTCTAGGCCAGTGATTAAAGTCGCATGGAACGAGGTGACAATAATATTACAAGTAGTTAGATGATATGAAATAGGAAACACTATTCCGAGTTTAGGGCATATAAATGTTGTTCCGGCAATTTTTTCTCTTGTTATTCCACTCACTTTAGGCTATAAAAAGACAATCCTAACTTAATAGAATCCCCATTGGATTCACGCAGCACATTCAAACAAAGCCGTAACTCTCAACCAAATAAAAATAGACCTGTGTTGTATTATTTACTATAAACCGTAAACATGAGTTTGAATAATTTATAATGAAATGGTCAAATTTATGACAAGATTTGTGCATGTTTTTGAAGTCGGTGAAACGGAGAAATCCATTTCCAAGGTTTTGCATCTTGTCTGTGATATCAATTCTATATGATTGATTGATATGGAATTACGAGAACAGCATGGTTAATGTTATCCCCCGGCTGTCGAAGCATTATTGATTCGATGTAATGTCTGATGTGGACATTTCGTCGATGTTATAAGAACATTAATGTAATGTCTAAGTTGGATAGAAGCTGCAAATAGCGACGGACATATTTACTAGTTATGTATGGTGTAATGATTTGCTTAATTGGTAAGTGGCAGTGAGGATTTGGGATATGATAGGATTGAAAGGGGAGTTAGGTTTATGTATATATTTATATGTATTTATATTTTTATATTTCTATACATGTATGGAACATTTGTAATCGCCAATTATCTTGGGAATTTTTAAGCTCTTATGTATTGTTGGTTTTGATCAGTTTATTGATTTTTAATTTGTTGGTTACGAAGATTTTTTGACTTTTCTAAATATGGTGAGATCGTCAAGTAATGGTTGTAATTTTGAATTATAATCAGATTTATTTAATACAACAAAGATATTAGATTTATCTGCTTTTTTAACAATTATATCAGTATGGTTATATAGTTCCTTTTTAAGCGATTTCTAATTGGTTCATTAGTATCATGGAAGACAGTTTTCTTTTGTTATATCTGTCTAGTATTTCTTTGTCTTTGAACAGATCACGAATTTCTGCATTTGTTTTTTATTAGTTGTTATTCTTAATATTTTTTTTTAAAGCTTTGATATAAATTTCAATTTCAGTTTTTCATACGGTATATTGCAATGTCTGTAAAGATGACCATTAGATCGAAGGTTGAGCAATTCCTTTTGTTGGTCTGTCAGTTCGGGTGAGATTGAATTTACTCGGAGGAAAAAAAGAAATGAAAAAACTATGGCGCTCTACTTAAAGAATTTAATATTAACATTAAAAAGTTGACCTGAGAATTCGAGAGGAATAAGATAAAAATAGACATAATATGTCCAGATTATTCACCCAAACATGCTTGATTAAATGTATATGTGCATACAGTCATGCAAAAGGATAAACTGACGCTATTTTATATATTTAATTTTGTGCGTGATCGTTGTTTGTTTATGATTTGATAGCAAAAATTAGTATTGATTTGTTTTTTACCATTTGTGAGAAAAAGAGCACCATGACACAAATCACTCCGCCAGAAATTTGGAAATGTCATGCTCAGAAGAGTTGTGGGAGATTTCGAAGATGTCATGAAGCTAATGGCGATTTTTTTAATAAATTTACTCTTTAGTATTTGAAAAACATTTTTGTGTAATTTTGAACTTTACTTTAAAATCAGATGTATATCTTAGCGTAATTTAGACGTGAATTAAAAATCTCAACCATTATAAGTGTGTATTATATGCATGTGACGTACGTGTATGTGTGTGTATGTGATTAAAATACTGAAAACTTCATGGTTCGACTATTGAATATATATTTTTTCATTATTTGTTGATTTTCGGCAAACCCCTCACATGCACGTGTTTATAAGAAAGGAAGAAGTGGATATATATATATATATATATATATATATATATATATATATATATATATGTGTGTGTGTGTGTATATATTATATATAATTTAATTAAGCATTCTCTTTCTTGTTCTTCATGTTAAAATCAATCGATAAACTATACGATGTCATTTTCCTGATGAAAATTGCATTTTATAAACCGGTAGTCCCCGTGTAAATATAATTTATTACATTTTAAAACGTTTCATATTAAAATATTTACCCTCCAGGAAAGCAAATATATATGCCAAATTACATTTATTATTGATTTTACTTGAATATTTCATGTATATATTTAATTAAATTTATATTTTCGAACACTAAAAATTAATATGATTTTCATTTAATTGATTTTTTCGCGATACATTATATTTTTATGGCATTTATTGATACTTCATATAATTTAATAGATTGTATTTTTCTTTCCTGCAAAGTATATCTGAAATAAAAGACAAATATATGTAATCCATTATGATAGTTTTATGTTCTTGCAGAGAGTTCAATGGGTGGCGAAGAAGACGGTATTATTTCCCTAGACAACATTAGCTAAACCTGAAACTTTAAAGAAGAGAAATTTTTATTGAATGCTTTTCAGCGAAAATCAAAAATATACCAAATCCGATAAATATGGTAAACATCGTTATTTATTTTGATTAATATATATATATTTATATTATATATTTGAAGAAAATTTTTTCATTGCATTATCTAGAATATTGCTTTATCAAAATTGCTATTGTTCCCGATTTCTGTGCCATTATCAGTGATAAGTTACACGTCTATTTTTAAGATAGAATTGGTTTATTTTGCAGCTTAGTTATATATATGTATTATTTTCCGAAATAAACACTATTTATTGGTGGAATAAGCAAATTCATTTTAACCTTAGAAAACTTTGTATATTTTTTTAAGGTTCTAACTTTTATGTAATTTAATATCAAACACGGAAGACAGAAAATAAAAACAGTCGATTTTGGACAAGGATGTTCTTATATATTATTCACTTTTAGTGTAAAATTGCATTGAATTAGGTATTTAGATTGATGTTTAATATTTTCAATAGATTCTTCAAAAATCATTTCATTTAATGTTGAAATTGAAACAAAAAAAAACAGTAACCTAAAAAATAACACAAAATTGGTAATATCTTAAATATTCACGGCAAATTTTCACTTTTTATATGGAAGTTATTCATCCATTCTCACCTTCAGACATATTTAAAAACTAAATTTATGTAACTGTTTCTCAAATCACTGGTTAAAATGGAGCCTATGAATGTTTTCATGTTTAAATATTTTTATTAAAAAGATTGGAAATTTGTGAATCTCTTTGTGAAATGACGCTACAGAATCATAATCATAGAATTATTCTATAATAATATATAATTATTATCAAGTTTGGAGGACATAAAATATATAATTAATTTTTAAACGGTTTTTAGATGTTAGGAAGAATAGAAATTAAAACATTACACAAAATAGTGTTATTATCTTAAGATGAATTAATCAAATGATGACATTTTTAAACATATATAATATTTTACGTATACTGAATGAGATTCAAATTGAAGTAAATGAAACGTTTTTTATTTTCTTATTCTTTTTTTATTCTTTTTTTCTTTAAGACACTTAATAGTAAAATTTCTGTTGAAAAAACTTGGATAAAACAATCACAATTAAATCAAAAAAAATGACGATTCTTTTTATATTGATTCTTTGCCAAAATTTATCATTAACATTTTAAACACAAAAATATGTTTTAGTTTTTAGCTTTGTTCTTTTATAATTTTTTACATGATACTTTGTTATTAATATTTTAAACTGTCGTCGGAATCATTTGTAAAATAAATTATCATTATATTATTTATTTCTATAAAAAAATATTTTGACATTTTATATCTTCAAATGAAATTTTATCGTTTGTTGAATTAAATGTTTTGTTAAATTTACATTTCCAATAAAAATTTTGGATTCTATAATTTTCATTTGAAATGAAAATTGTATTTGCCCTTAATATTTGAATAAAAAATATTTTTAATTATATCAATGAAAAGGAAAAAAAAATAAAAAAGTTGTTTAATAAAATTTTAGAATGAAGCAAACATTTTTTAAATAGGTGTTTTCTGGAAATATTCTAACGAATTTTCATTTTTGAAAATGAATTATTGATTTTATATTGTTTTTTTGTTTGTTAAAAACGCATTTTATTTTTCAAAAGATCCCAAATATTTCACTTTCTTTTTTTTAAATTTTCTTTCTTAATATATGATTTCAGA